TTATAATGGGAGGGATACAAAATACTTACTTCTATGGCCAAATCCAGCTGTGAAATCATCATAAAAGAAATCTTGTAAGAATTGCAAATTTAATCAATCTTCAGTATAAAAATATAATGGTCAGTAATTTAATGACATAAGCAATTTGAAAGTCAAGTGAATTGCAAGCATTATAATATCTAGAAGAATAACTGAACAAGGAATGGATGACATAACTGTAAGGTTAAAATAGTATAGCGCTTAATATTTTAGTTTTTTTTTTTTTAATTTCAGTCATTTATAATCTTGATTCTTTAAGCACAGAAATAGATTTCTTCATTTGAAGAAGCCGCATTCTTTTCAGGCTACTAACAAATTACTAAAGAAAACATGTACTTTACACATTGCCAAACTGTAAGCACAATGACCTAGTTGCAAGTCTAGCCCTCCAGATTTACCCTTTCTGTCCCATGCCCACACACTATAACCAGAGAAACATTTCTGAAACACAAAATGAATGATATCACTCGAAATCCAAATCTACAGTCCTCAACTTGGTCCCTCAAGATCTGGTTTATGTGTTTCTTGGCCTCATTATTCTCTCCTCTTCCATTTGCATCTTACAGTGTGCCCACAATAAGCAGTTTGCTTCCCTGGATGAGAAGAGTTGTTTTGCATCTCCTGTTCATTCTGCCTAATTTTAAATTTTAACGGCTTTTTCTGGCGACTTTTACTTTTGTATGCTTTGAAACTAAGTTCTAGCATTGACACTGCTGGGAAATTTCCTTCCCCTTCCCTTTCCCAGTTGGGCTAGTCTGTCTCACTTCAGTGCTTATCTTGACACTTCATTTGACATTTTGAATTATATTAATAGTTGTCCCTTTAGCTGTCTGTCATCTCTCTCCCACTCCACCTCATGGCATTGTACTCGGTAGATGAGGAAGCTCCTTCCCATCCATGCTGTCTAGCAGAGTGCCAGAAATGAGGTAGGTGCTAAGTGAAAATTGTTTTTTAATTTAATAGGAGGAATGTTCCTTCTCTTGGGAGACACTAGGTTAGTTTAATGTATTAATTTGGCAGAATATTAAGAATGGTGTGTATTTTGCTAACTTCCCTGATAACCAGAATCATCTCAAAATGTGTGTTTGCTGTCTGATAGCTTTTCTTTTCTTTGGATTGGCCAGTAGAAAATGGTAGCCAAGTTAGTAATCTGCCTTCAGCTACCATGAAGAACACTATGGCTTGCATATTGTGTTGTAACTATGTTCTTGACTTTTATTCCTCCTTTTCCTCCAATGAATGACTATTCATTTTATATTGGATGTTGTCATCAAAGTACAGAACACGTAGCTCTTTGACAAATATTCAGTTCCTTCTTTGTGAAAAAACATTTTAAAAATATAGGTGATCGTGTATAAATTATGTCTTACTCCTACAAAGACAATACTTATCCTTTAATGCTAATATTTATTTTACAAAGTTGAAGTTATTGCAGTACCGCACTGTTTTGATTATTGTAGCTTTGTATACAGTTTTGAAACTGGAGAAACATATGGTTTATCCTGAAGAATGTTCCATGTGCAGTTGAGAAGAATTCTTAGTCTGCCCTTATTGGGTGAAATGTTCTGTAGATTTGTATTGTTGTTAAATTTTGCTTTTCTTTGTGACTTTCTTTCTAGGTATTCATTTGATTATTGAAAATGTGGTATTGGAGTACCTAACTATTATTATTGAATTGCCTATTTTTCCTTTTAACTCTGTTAGTTTTCATTTTATATTTTGAAGCACTGTTAAATATATTTTTATATACGCATACATGTTTATAATTAATTATCTTCTTGGTGGATTGACCTTTTTATCATTTAAAAATGTTGTTTTTCTCTAGTAACAAGTTTTGTATTAAGAATCTCTTTTGTCTGATATTTGTATTATAGCTACTCTATCTCTCTTTGGGTTACTTTTTTATGGGATATCTTCTTTCATACTTTTTCTCTCAACTGAATCTGAAGTGTATCTCTTGTAGTTAGCATGTAGTTTCATCATTTTTTCCCACAATACCAATTTCTACCTTTTAATTAATGTGTTTAAATCATTTGCATTTAATGTAATTACTGATAAGGTAGGATTTACTTCTGCTGTCTTGTAATTTGTTTTCTACATGTCTTACGTCTTTTTTGTACCTGCTGTCTTCTTTTGTGTTAAATACACAGACACACATACACCATTTGTTTTAGTTTTACTAAACCATTTTAATTTCTTTATAGTTTCTTTTTCTACATTTTTGTTTATATTTTTTAGCCTATCCTGAGAATTATAATTTATATCTCAGCTACTTATATCAGTTTTTCAGAATTCAACCAACTTAATTTCAATAGTACACAAAAACTTTGCTATTTTTATAGCTCCATTCGCTTCCTTCACAACTGTCTTATTACTGTCATAGAATGCATCTTTATACTTTGTGTGTCCATCAACACATATTTACAATTATTTATGCAATTATCTTTTAAATCTGATAGAAGGAAGGAGTTACAAACAAAAAATATGTTTACACTATTCTTATATTTACCTGAAGATTTACTAGTCATCTTTATTTTTTTCATATTCAAGTGACCTTTCACTTCCCCTTATAACTTTCTAGTTTTCTCATACAACATGACTGCTATTGATGAATTACCTTAGTGTTTGTTTATCTTGTAATGTCTTAATTTCTCCTTCATTTTTAAAGGATAATTTTGATGGATATAAAATTTTTAGTTGGCAGTTTTTTTTAAGTACTTATAATATGGCTTCCCATTGTCTTCTGGTCTCTGTGGTATTTGTTAGAAATCAGCTGTTATAAGGATCTTGCATGTGATAAGTTTTTTCTCTCACTGCTTTCAAGATTCTCTATTTGTCTTTTTCTTTCAGTGGTTTGACAATGATATGTCTTACGTGTAGGTCTCTGATTTTATCCTTTCTGGAGATTGTTGAGCTTCTTAAATTTTCAGCAATTGTGTCTCCAAATATTCTTTCTACTCCTTTCTCTCCTTTCCTTCTGGGTATCTCAATCTTCATATGTTCAGACATTTGATGCATATGTTCACAAGTCTCTGGTGCTCCGTTTTCTTCATTTTTTTTTTCTCTTCCTCAGACTGGATAATGTCAGTTCATCCGTCTTCAAGTATTTGATTTTTTTTCTTCAGCCTAATTATATCTGCTGATAAGCCATTTTAATGAATTGTTTTTATTTCAGTTATTGAACTTTGCAACTCAGGAATTTCTTTTGGTTCTTTTTGTTTTCTATATTTATATTAATAGTCTCTATTTTTTGGTGAGGCACTGTTTTTATGCTTTTCTTTAGTTTTTTAGAAAGGGTATCTTTTAGTTCTTAGACTGTACAGCTGTTCCACAATATATGTACAGGTTTGGTTCCTGTACCCCCTGCCCTTCCTAAATGCGTGCATACTCAAGTCTGACAGTTGGCCTTGCGGAATCCACATATTTGAAAAGCTTGCCCTTGGTATATGCAGTGTGTTTGCATCCCAGAAATACTGTATCTTCAATTTGCATTTGGTTGAAAAAATCTGCATCTATGTCTACCCACACAGTTCAAATCTATGTTGTTCAAGGTTCAACTGTATTTCAAACAACTGACTTAAAGTCTTTGTCTAGTAAGTCCAGTGTCTCATTTTCCTGAGGGACAGTTTTTATTTACTTTTTTTTTTTTTTTTATGTAAAGGGACCATGCTTTCATGTTTTTTTTCATGTCTTAATTTTTTGTTTAAAACTGGACATTTAATAGGATGTTTCAACTCTAGAAATCAAATTCTTCCAGGGTTTATTTGTTTTTGTTATTTGTTTAGTGCAGGGGTCCTCAAACTTCTTAAACAGGGGGCCAGTTCACTGTCCCTCAGACCATTGGAGGGCCAGAGTATAGTATAATGAAAACTATGAAGAAATTTCTATGCACACTGCACATATCTTATTTTGAAGTAAAAAACAAACGGGCAAAAAGACCTGCATGTGGCCCATGGGCCGTAGTTTGAGGACGCCTGATTTAGTGACTTTCCCGCACTAATTTTATAAAGTCTGTATTACTCTCTTTTGCCCCTGAAGTCTCATCTGTGTTAGTTAGTAGTCAGCTAGTGATTGGACAGATTTCTGTAAATGCCTGTAAACTGCCTAATCTTTGCCAAGGGCTTCACACTCAACCAGTTAATTTACAACTAATCAGTCTTAGCCTTTCACTTCCTGCATGTGCTACACCTCAGGGTCAGCCAGAAGAGATAGCCCAGGACCTTCCAAGGTCTTTCCTGGGCATGAGTGTGGCATTATTCATGCCCTTTTAGATTGCCGGGAATATTCCAGAGCTTTTCTCAATCTATATCGATATCTCATTGCTCACTTTTCCTTTGAAGCTTTTTAATTAGCCTATTGTTTGCCCAGTTTTTCTCCAACACATCAGGCAGCAAAAATCTCAAACAATTGCCTCAAATTATTTTCTTCAGATACCCCCAGGAAAAAGGGATTTTTGCATGAGGGAAGGTCTAGTCAGGTCAAACAAAGGCAATTCTCTGAGAATGGAGTTTTGAAAGAGCTCCATTCTGTTCTGCCCCCTTCTATGGCCTCCAGACTCCTGGTGTTTGTGGCTATCAGTTTTCAATGCTCCTGCCAAAATTGGGAGTGGGCCACAGGAATAGCACAAATTAAAACAGCACAAACCTCACTATTTTTAACCAGGATTTAGCCAATGAAAAAAATGCTCCTTAGATCTCTGCAATCCTCTGGTTAATTTCTAGTGTTCTGAAAATGTTGATTCTGACATGTTTTTTGCCAATTTCTCTGCTTTTATAGAAGGAATGTTTGGAAGTTCTTATATCACCATTTTCACTGAAGTCACTCCTATATTTTTCTTTGCACTATAATTAGTCATATAGTTAAATGCTAGCTGAATTAATAGAAATTCACTAATAGCAGAATGTGTCTTTCTTTCCAGAAACTTCTCTGAATGTTTTTGTACTTCTCTTATTATATTTTAGGACTATGATGATGGATATGGCACTGCTTATGATGAACAGAGTTACGATTCCTATGATAACAGCTATAGCACTCCAGCCCAAAGGTAAGATTTAGTCTTTATTACCAGCTCCCACAACAGATACTGTGTCCTTCCATATTCATGTGTTCTAGGAGAAGCATGATAATCAGCTAGTGAGGATAATTTGGCTTGCTCTGTTTTGTTTGTCATTTGTTTTAATTGGAGACGTACTGTATGCTCCACCAAATAACATGTATTACCACACCCAGGTTTACTGTAATGTTAAACAAATCAGGCTTCGGGGAAAAAAACCCTGAAATTTTATGCTAAAAATTTGACTTACGTGTTCAATATATTTTCAAGCAGAACAGTAGCCTCAAAGTGTGTGACTATTCAGTCTCAAGGCCAAAAATTACATTGGAAATGTGTAAATATTCTACATTGTCAGTGCTTCGAGAAGAAAGTGTCAAAAGTTTTGTTTCCTACTTCTAGAACATTTCAATTTCTTAGCAGCATTGCTCCTGTTTCTAATAACTTCAAATTCTCACTTGTGAATAATAAGTTAGTTCCAGTTCATTTTCCAAAGAAGTATTTACCCAGAAATAATTGTTATCAGAGGCAAAAAACAGAGCTTTATAGTTAACTTCTTCTGATAATATACCTTGATGTTCACTGATACTTAAAATCAGTATTTATTCTGTTGAGAATGTTTTCCTTTGATGCCTAGAAACCTTTTGTTTTTTGTTCAAAATTCTAAGGGGAAGACAAAGATAGACACACACCAAATTATTGGCTTTGGAGTAATTATGAAGCATAAATCAATATGGACTATGTAGTTATTTTGATAAAGCTAAATTCACTTTTGAACTCATGTGGTGCCAGTCAAGCTTTGAACACATAGGTTCTCTTATTTGTTCACTGTAGTATTGAGGTGGACATGGATATAAAAAACTTCATTTTTGCTCATGCCAGGTTATTACCTTATATAACTTATAACACTTAAGTAGCCTTCAAACTTTGGCTCTCAACAGGTCATTTATAGTGGAAGCCTTATGCATCATGTTTGTGTCCCTTGAGTGTGTTGGGAGTAGATGAGCTTCTAATATGTATTGAGCCCCGTGACTGGCACATTGTGAATGCTAGACAGGACTTCCCAGCAACTTAATGAAGTATGTGGTGCTATTCCCATTGTATAAATAAAGAAAAGGAGCATAAAATTAACTAATTTGCCAGAAATCACACAGTAAGTAGAAAGATGAAATTCTGATTCAGATATTCAAACTCAAAGATTTGTACTCTTTATAAATAAGTCCTTCTCATAGTTTGTTTAAAGACATACATATCCACAGATATTTCAATTTGCAGTCTAAACGTCCTAGCAAAGCAAGTCTCCCACCCCCACAACATTTGCTGAGTGCATACTATATATTTCTGGCAGTTTCTTTAAGTTCTGTAAGGCCCGCAGTCTAGATCGTATGAACACATCACTCCTGACAACAGTCCTATGAGGCAGGTGGTATTACTGTAGAAGAGGAGACTGAATAGCCATGAGATTCTGGCACTTGCTATGACTACACAATTGATAAGTGGCAACTCAAGTGTGTGACTGCCAAGTTCTTCACCCTGGTACATTAGGACTAGTGTCTCATTACACATTTCTGTTAGTTCTGTCCCCATATCTATTATAATACAGTCATGGGCTGCTTAAATTGGATATGTTCTAAAAAGAAATGCATCCTTAGGCAATTTCATTATTGCATAAACATCACAGAGTGTACTTTACACAAACCTAGATGGTATAGCCTCTTGCTCCTAGGCTACATACCTATGCAGCATGTTAATATATTGAATATGGTAGGCATTTGTTACCCAATAGTAAGTATTTATGTATCTAAAGATATCTAAGTACAGAAAAAGCACAGTAAAAATATGTTATGAAAGCTAAAAAATGGTACATTTACCATGAACGGAGCTTGCAGGACTGGAAGTTGCTCTGGGTGAGTCAGTAAGTGAACATGAAGGCCTAGGACATTACTGTACACTACTATAGGCTTTATAAACCCTGTACACTTAGGCTACACTAAATTTATTTTTAAAATGGATTTCTTTCTTTAATAATAAATTACCCGTAGCTATTGTAACTTTTTTACTTTATAAACTTTTAGAATTTTTTAACTTTTTGACTCTTTTGTAATAACAGCTTAAATTGCAAATATATTATGTAGCTGTACAGAAATATTTTCTTCCTTGTATTCTTATTCTTTCTATAAGCTTTTTTCTATTTTTTTACTTTGTAAACTATTTTGTTAAAAACTAAGACACAAACACATATGTAGCCTAGACATAGGATCAGGATCATCAAAATGCCACTAGATGATAGGAATTTTTCAGCTCCATTATGATCTTATAGAACATGCATTGTAGATGTTGTTCCTTGTTAACCAAAACACAGTTATGCAGGCCATGACTGTTCAGTGTGTTGGACTTTCAGATGCAGGTGTATTTTATTGTTTGAACTGTATGCACAGTATAGTGATGTTTACAGTTTGATTGATTCTGTGGGGGAAAAAAAAAGAAGGGACCTAATTTTTATTGAGTGCCTACTGTGTTTCAAATACTATGCTAGTGCTTTTTATATTTGATTTCAGTAGATATTCATGGGCATCAGCCTAATCCTATGCAATAAATATAATTACCTCCAGTTAGTAGATGTAGAAACTGAGAGGTAGCTTTTTAATGAAGAGTATATGCAATATAGGATTATAGTTCAAATAATCTTTTATTTTTTTGATATTTGATATGAAGAACAAAATTTAAAGCATTTACTCTGTTAAATACTATGACCTATTAAGAAGAGAGATAACACAGTGTAACCCCTGATAAACTGATAGCAAACAAGAGGGAGCCCACATTTATTTATAGCCTACTCTAAATCAGATATGGAATTTAATCCATTACTTACGTGTCTTATTTAATCTAAATGACAACAGCAAGAATTAATATATGTGATCAAACTGAAGTTCAAAGAAGTAATGACTAATCCTGAATGTAAATTTATAAAGCATATTAATATGATTGGTAGCAGGTATTCATTTCTATGGTCATTTATTAGAATAGTCAGTATTTATTGAATGTCCATATTTTGCTAGGCATTGTTCTTGATGCTTGAGATACAAAAATTATTAAGACAGAGACCATGTCCTTGAAAAGCTCGCCACAAAAATTATTAAGACAGAGACCATGTCCTTGAAAAGCTCGCCATCTAGAAGGAAACAAATAATAAATATTTAAATGCAATGCAATATGGTAATCATGTGAGAGGTCTGAGGAGAAATTCATTGTTTTTGTAAGATAACAGTGCTAAATTCTGGTTCAGAATACTGGGGACATTTTCCTGAAAAAGTGAAAGATAAATAGCAGTCACCAGGTGACAAACTGGGAAGGGCATTTCACAAAGCAAGTCTAACAGGGCACAGAGGCATGAAACATAAGTTTTGTGTAGCAACTACACTACTTTTCTAGGGCTAGAATGTGTGCTGCACAGGAGCTTGTGGGGAGAGAGATGAGCCGCAGCAGGAGCGACGGCATATTTCCCACTCAAGGAGCTGAGGCTTGTACTGGAGACAGTAATAGGGAGCCATTGAAGAGTTACCTGCAAGGGAATGTGTTTAGCCTTGAATTAGAGATATTGATTAGATGAGAGTGTAGAGCCTGGATTGGCAGGTGGTGAGCCTAGAGGCAGAGACCAGTCAAGAGGCCAGTATATTATAAATTATAAGCCCTATAAATATCAGGAAAGACTCACTAAAAGAAACATCTTATATAACCACCATTCTACCTTCTTTGAGGTAATCTTTTCCATGCTACCAACTTGTCTTACCTAGCGGAGTACAGAGAATTGTGTGAGAATTACTTATATTAGCAAATGCAGAAGCCACTGTGTGTTAGGTACTCTGGATGTTCATTTTTAATCCTTATAACATGTGAATTAAACATCTGTCTCTTTTAAAGAAGAAAACTGTGATTCCCAAAAATTAGGTAACTTGCTTCAGACCATACAAGTTATAAGCAAAGGAGCCAAGCTTTGAACCTCAGTCTGTGTGACTGTAAGCTTGTGTTTTTTCTACTTCAGCACTCTCAAACTTAACTAAATGACGGCTTTACTATAAATTGAAATGAAGCAGCTGAATCCTGGACTAGGGTGAAATGCTTTTATACACTGTATTAGTTTGCTAGGGCTGCCATAACAAAATACTACAATCTGGGTGACTTACAGAAATTCATTTTCTCATGGTTCTGGAGGCTGGAGGTCCAAGATCAAGGTGGGTTATGTTTCTCTTGAGGCCTCTCTCCTTGGCTTGCAGGTGGCTGCTTTCTCACTGGTCCTCTCTTGCTCCTTTCCTCTGTGCATATGCATCCCTGGTGTCTCTTTGTATATCCAAATTTTCTCTTGTAATAAGGACACCAGTCAGATTGGATTAGAACCCACCCTAAGGACCTTATTTCAGCATAAACTGCCTCTTTAAAGGCACCACTGTCTTCAAATATAGTCACAATCCAAGATACCGGGGTAAGGGCTTCAAGATTTGAATTAGAAAGGGGCAGGGTACACAGTATAGCCTATAACATGCACATATTATAACATTGATTTAAGCACAGCACTATATGTCTCAGAATTAGGAACTTAGTATAAACCAGTTAGGATAGCAAAATTATGGACCATTCCCAGGATCAAATAATTAATAAGGAAATCATTGTCACTTTCATTGTGGTGTTTACTGTGTGTTTGACATTATTTCATGGACTTGACATAAGTTATTTCTCTCCTCTTATCATCCCCTGTGATATTGCTAAATTCAAGTCTAAACATTCCCTTGCAAACAGATTCAAAGAGGTTAAATTGCTTATACAAACTCACAAGGCCACGCAGTGGTACAAATAAATCCACCTTGCCCCCAAAGCATTCTCTTTATACTCTGCCCCATTGCCTTTTACCTCTCCTTTTGTTGTGGTTTTGTCTAAGCAAATTACTTGCTGGGACTAATTCCTATTTGTATTTCCCATATATAGCATTAAAAAATCTA